TTCAGAGCTGGAATATATGCCATTGTGTTCATTGTTTCATCTTTGCCATGCTCTTGGAGAGTTGAGTTTTGTGCCTTAGGCTTGAGGGCCCGCCCCGGGCCGCCCACGGGCCGTGGGCTAGTTTCGAGCAGCCACGGGGCGCGGGCTAATTTTATACTCTTATCAATGTGAATGTTAACATGTCAATGTGAATATTCACATTGTCAACAGGCCGGGCCGGGCCCACCCCGGGCCGCCCACGGGCCGTGGGCTAGTTTCGAGCAGCCACGGGGCGCGGGCTAATTTTATACTCTTATCAATGTGAATGTTAACATGTCAATGTGAATATTCACATTGTCAACAGGCCGGGCCGGGCCCACCCCGGGCCGCCCACGGGCCGTGGGCTAGTTTCGAGCAGCCACGGGGCGCGGGCTAATTTTATACTCTTATCAATGTGAATGTTAACATGTCAATGTGAATATTCACATTGTCAACAGGCCGGGCCGGGCCCACCCCGGGCCGCCCACGGGCCGTGGGCTAGTTTCGAGCAGCCACGGGGCGCGGGCTAATTTTATACTCTTATCAATGTGAATGTTAACATGTCAATGTGAATATTCACATTGTCAACAGGCCGGGCCGGGCCCACCCCGGGCCGCCCACGGGCCGTGGGCTAGTTTCGAGCAGCCACGGGGCGCGGGCTAATTTTATACTCTTATCAATGTGAATGTTAACATGTCAATGTGAATATTCACATTGTCAACAGGCCGGGCCGGGCCCACCCCGGGCCGCCCACGGGCCGTGGGCTAGTTTCGAGCAGCCACGGGGCGCGGGCTAATTTTATACTCTTATCAATGTGAATGTTAACATGTCAATGTGAATATTCACATTGTCAACAGGCCGGGCCGGGCCCACCCCGGGCCGCCCACGGGCCGTGGGCTAGTTTCGAGCAGCCACGGGGCGTGGGCTAATTTTATACTCTTATCAATGTGAATGTTAACATGTCAATGTGAATATTCACATTGTCAATAGGCCGGGCTGGGCCCACCCCGGGCCGCCCACGGGCCGTGGGCTAGTTTCGAGCAGCCACGGGGCGCGGGCTAATTTTATACTCTTATCAATGTGAATGTTAACATGTCAATGTGAATATTCACATTATCAACGGGTCGGGCCGGGCCCGCCCAGGGCAGCCCACGAGTCGCGGGCGTGTTTCGGGCCGGCCACAGGCCGCAGGCTAATTTTACGCTCCTATCAATGTGAATGTTAACATATCAATGTGAATATTCACATTGTCAACGGGCTGGGCCGGGCCCGGGCTGCCCACGGGTCATGGGCTAATTTTACACTCTTGTCAATGTTATTGTTAATGTTAATATGTCAATGTGAATATTCACATTGTAAACGGGCCGGTCCAGACCCGCCCCGGGTGGCGGGCTGGTTTCGGGCCGCCCACGGGCCGCAGGCCAATTTTACACTCCTATCAATGTGAATGTTAACTTGTCAATGTGAATATTCATATTATCAACAGGCCGAGCCGGGCCTATTTTTTTGGCCTGTGGGCCGGCCCGGCCCGACTCGAATTTTTCCGGGCACCCACGAGGATCGACATGGGCCGGGCCCCTACACATTGACGATATGAACATTTACGTTGACGGTGTGAACATTCACATTAAGGGTATTTTGGTAATTATGTCACCCATAGGACTTATTGAAATATAAGAAAATAATGTGAGCTAAATGGAATATAAGTAGATGAAAAGGGTATTTTGGTCTTCTTATCTCAAATTGGACCTAATGGAATAGTCAAAAAGAATATGGGTTCGATGGAATAAAACTCTTAGAAAATGAATTTATCAAAAAAACTCCAATATATAAAATATAACTCATATTTTTTCGCTTTATATTTCTTTCTTTTCCCACCGTACTCACTTCTCTTCTTAATAAATCTTAACCTCTTAAAAAATTATTTAATACTTCTATAAATATCATAGACCAATAAGATTACATGAAAAAAGATTAATGGACAAACTAGTCTTTACTCAATCGGTCAATGTTAGACTTTCAAAGTACTATGTAATATTCATTCTATTCTTGATAAAAAAAATTTACTAGATACTTAACACAGCTAATTCAATATTTTTTATTCATAAAATTTTTCGTTACATGATTGGTATGGAACACTGTGTATATAATGTCATATGATGTTTTAAAACTACCGAATAACTATTCATTCTTTTTAACAAATAATGTCAATAATTAAAAATATCACATAAATAACACCACATAATTAGCGGAGACTAACCACATCTCAATGTTGAGTTGGTAATATAGAAGTAGTAAATGATTACTCACCATATAATCTCTTTCATGCATGCCCTGCATTTCACCTACCAACATAACAACCAAATTCTCCACGCCCGCGCGCACACACAAAAAGAAGAAAAGAAAAAAATATTGTGAGATAAATAGTTGTTTCCTTTGTTTCTTTTGTTTCTTTTACCTTCTTCAAAAATTTCAAAAACACAAAAACTCAACTTTTCTTGGATTATCTCTGAAATGGGGTCTATGGGATGAGGTGGGTATTGTCTCTAGGGAAGATGCCGCAGTTAACCATTGCTATCAACTGAAGTTATTGTATGGATCTTTTGTTTTGTTTTTTCTGCTTTAGCTCGATTCTGCTTTTGTTTTCATTGCTTTGTCCAGTCAAAACAAGTAGCATCAACAGAAAGAACCTTTTTCTGAGCAGGTATATTACTTTTTGTTATACTATCCCTAGGATTGGAGGTAATAGATTACATAAGCATACTTTGAAAAACACTTTATGCTTTAATAGTTTTTGATTCGCTGACGAACTCTCCATTGTTAGTAGGAATATGGGGCCAAAGATTTCGTACTGATGTCTAAATTTCTCTTCTGTTTTACAACACTCGCAATTATTGAAGTGCATAGATAGAAAAAATTCTATGAAGTTTTATTGTTTCCTAGGATTGGCTTGGGCATTTTTTGCACAGCTATGGCTCTCATGAGTGTTTTAAAATAGAAAAACTGAGGGATTTTCATGTGTCGAATATGAGATTTCTGTTTGAAAAACACTTTATTCTTTAAAACTTTTGATTTGTTGACAAACTCTCTATTGGTAATAAAAATGAGGCCTAACATTCTTTATCCCTAAATTATTTGTTCTTGTAAATTACTTACAATCATTAGGTCATATAAGTCTCATTAGGGTTTTAAAATAATATAACAAAAAAAATTTGGAATAGAGAATTCTATACTGAATATGGAATCCTCTTTGTTTGTATGCCAAAATCCACTAGTTTTGATTTTTTCAATCCTACATATAGCCACCTCTCTCTGTCTCTCTCTCTCTCTAAGTAGATTGTTATTGCAGGAAATATGAACCTCATGCAAGATCTCTTGGAGAGGCTAAGACCCATTGTAAATTTGAGAAGCTGGGATTATTGTGTTCTTTGGAAATTGGGTGATGATCAAAGGTTTAAACACACAAACAAAATCTAATTCCTCTCTCTGTCTCTCTCTCTCTCTCTCTCACATTCATCTTTTTGATGTACATGTGTAGGTTTCTTGAGTGGATGTATTGTTGTTGTGCCGGATCTGAGAACATCCAAAATAGTGGAGAGGAGCTTCTTTTTCCTGTTTCTTCTGTTCCTCCTTGCAGAGACCTCATGTTTCAGCACCCAAGGACCAAACCTTGCGATCTTCTTGCTGAATTGCCCTCGTCCATTCCCCTACATTCTGGGTTGTCTCTCATACACATATCTATACAACCCATATACACACAAGAACGAGTTTGAATGAGACATAACACAATACAAATCCCAGAATGGGACATAGACTCATTCAAACTCATTCTCGAGGGACATGGACACTAAGCGAGTGTCTGTGTCTTATTTTGTGATTTGTTTTTGTGTTAGTAGCATTTTTTAATTAGTTTGTCTAACTATACTTGTAAATTTACAGGATTTACGCGCAAACCTTAATGTCAAACCAAGCAAGATGGTTGAACTTCTCTAATAACTCAGATTCAAATGCTTTGGAAGTGAGAATTCCCCAAACCATTTTTCCAAAAAAGAAATATCATAAAGCCCTTTATATCTTAAGCTAATACATTGCAATCTCAATTTTTTTTTTTTTTTTTGCAGGAAACAGTTGGGACTAGGGTTTTAATTCCGGTGCCAGTTGGATTAGTTGACCTGTTTGTTGCCAAACTAGTACAAACACTTTCTCCTATAATAATATAGTGATGAACATGATCTTTCTATTCTAATTTTCCATATTAATGATTTGTTTGAGTAAGTGACAGTTATTAATAGATTTTTTTCCCCCTTAAAGGAACCTGAAGATCAGCAAATCATAGATTACATTACAGCCCAGTGTAGCATCATACTAGAGCAAGTCATGGTCCATTCAAACAACATGGATCCAAACTTCTCAGTGAATGTCAATGAAATCCAATCAAACCCATTTCTATTGGATAAAAACAGAGAAAAAGATCACAACAATCCATTCCAGCCTGCAACATCGTTGGAAAACCTGAACCTGCCATATGACGTATCCGTTGATCGGATCCGGCTATGCAATTCTCCGACAAATTTCTTGCAACCCTTCAAGAATGACAGCTTCTTTGATGGATCAAATGAATTGTTCCTCGTTGAGAAGTCGATCAACTCATTTAACTCTTTGGGAGAGAATGGATTTCTAGAAAAGAATTTGATTAAACAACAAGACGGGACTAATAAGGATTCGATTAAAAATGAGACAGGGAGATCAGAATCTATCTCAGATTGCAGTGATTTGAATGAGGATGAAGATGATGCAAAGTATAGGAGGAGAACAAGTAAAAGGCCTCAGTCGAAGAATCTTGTTGCGGAAAGGAGGAGAAGGAAGAAACTTGATGCCAGGCTCTATGCTCTTAGAGCATTGGTCCCCAAAATATCCAAGGTACAGTCATCATATTGTGTAATTCCATGTTTAAAATTCTTCTCTGTTTTCTCTAACAGTTAATTAATAGGTTCGATACTAGAAATAATAGGTTTATCGAAGGTATAGTCATCATATTGAACATACATTTCCACAATTATCACGTGTCACATCTTATCAAGTATTGGTACTTCTAAAAAGGAGTCATATTCATGTCGTATTTATATTAGATACTAATATCTTGTATCATCCAATACTAGAAATTGGTGTGTTTGGGACGACCAACTGGACAACTGCTCGGCGGTCATCCCGAACACAACAGTTTCTATGTTTGGTTCTGTAAAAATGGCAATTTTGCAAAAAATTATCTGTTTTGCTGGGAGGGAGGGAGGGAAATGGTTGGTTTTGGCTAAGTTGATTAATATGATAGGTGCCAAAGTTTATGTCAAATTTGACACAAGTTTTAACATTTGCCAAATTTGATAGCTTCCATATTCCATATTCACCATTGACAGCTTCCAACCATTAGAGACGCACTTATATCCTATTGTTAAAAAAATATTATTGTGGGGACGTATTTTGTGAATGACAACACGTGGCCAATGCAGCACTGAAGTGTTAGCCGGGGCGTCACGTGCCTTGGTCATGGCGCCGAGGTGATCTCGGCTAGGCCGAGGTTATCTGCGGAAATACCAGAATTTGGGATGAGCGGATAAGAGGCAAGAGTCCTAAAATGGGGGAGGATCTCAGTCTGGATAAAGATAAGGCTCTTAAAGAGTTTATCTCTATCTGGTTGGAAGTCCAAGATGAGCATTGAGCCAGAGTCTATTGAAGCTAGGCTTCTACAGGGATCAGGTTAGTGCTGGCTATAAAAGTAAGGCACCCTCGTGGGTCTAAGGTACACTTTTTGTATTCTGGCTAGTGAGTTAAGCACTATTTGCTATCTTTGAGAGATAACTGAGTACTGACTTGATCGTCGGAGTGCCCCCGGATGGACGAACCACCACCGGAATTCTTATCTTTTTGTGACAAGTTGTTCGGGCCTGTGCTCTCCTAGTGAGTACCTGTTTGATAGTGTGGTTAGAAATCAGTACCCACAATTTGGCGTCATTTGTGGGAAACGTAAGAAGAATAGATGGCCAACGACGGACAGAAAGGAAGAATTGGCGTCGACATCCCTAGTGGGAGTGGTAAAAACGCCGAACCTAACATAGAGGAGGATAACTGTAACGAAGAACCTCGGGATAAGAATCCTGGAGAAAAAGACGTCGGCTAAAAGGGAGACGTACCAAAGAAAGCATGTTAGGGAGGGTATTACAACGAAAACGACCTCTAGGTATGGAAAGATAGATGCCTGAGGAGGAATGGTGAGATGAAAGAGATGGCAAACAAATTGGCAGACCTACAATCGGTTGTCAATTTCATGATGCAGAACAACGTCATGCAGTCACCGTTCCTATTGGAGGATACGGCGATTCCAGTGACCAAGAACAATGCTCAGAAAGGGAGGTAGAAAGCAATCCCGCAGTTCCCCAGCATAGCAGGGCGAGGAAGCATTCTCATTGGCCTTCACGGGAGGTCGGGCGAGGAGAGTCGATGAGAGGAGAGTCTCAGAAGACACATTGTGCCAAAGAAACCTATGCCAAAGAACATCAGCATGTTCAAGGGAAGGAGCTTTACTTTGACACGACAAATGGAGGGAGGTCTAAGAGGACTTATAACGACATGGGAAGCAGCGCACCAAAAAGGCTGAAATCCGTTGACAGCCGAGCTCCTAGACAAACTAAGGAGGATTTGAGGGATTACGTCTAGAGGAAGCGACAAGATGTCGAGGTAACATCTCCGGTCAAGCCAAGAACGTCGTTCTCGGTGGAATTGGACAAGTTTAAGGCCCCGAAAAGGTTCCACATGCCGAGATTCCAGATATACGACGGTGAGTCTAATCCCAACTTTCATGTCAGCTTATACTTGAACTCAATGACATTGTACACCGAAAATGAGCCGTTACTCTGCAAGGTGTTCCCCTCATCCTTTAGGGAAATCGCATCAGATTGGTTTCACAAATTGCCGAAAGGAACTGTGACAAGCTGGGAAGGCCTAACTGAGATGTTTGTGGCCAAGTTTGTTACAAACAAACTACAGCCATTGAGGGTAGACTCTTTGATGGTTTTGAGACTTGGAGAGGATGAAAGCCTCAGGTCTTATGCCAAAAGGTATTATGAAGTGTTTAACATAATACCAGGGTGCAACCAAGAGGTGGAGGTCGTTTCTTTTAAGAATGGCCTAAACGATTATTGTCTACTTCGAAAATCACTGGCAAAGACACTGCCAAAAAGTATAGAGGAACTTATGGCCAGAATCGAGAAATACGTGAGAGCAAAGGAAGATACACTAGGGACCAAGGTGTCAAAGCAAGAGAAGAGGAACGGCTCGCCGAAGCGAGGCCGAGGTAATACAAATTTTAATAGACAAGAAACAGGACTAAGGGCTACACAGGCAATCACCACAGTGTTCCAGATCCCGGTTTACAAAGTCCTGGAAAGAATCAGAAACCAGCCTTACTATAGAGCACCAGAGAAGATCCCTGGCGAATTTATGGGAAGAAGCCTGGGGAAGCATTGTGCCTACCACAATGAGGATGGGCACTTGACTCAGGGGTGCAGAGCCCTAAAGACACATCTGGAAGACCTTGTGAGACAAGGTCACTTAAGGGACCTGGTGGATGAGGCCAAAACAAGGGAAGAGTAGACAAGGCTACCCCAGGCACCGACAGCACCACCTCTACTAGCACCACCGCCAGCAGACGGACCTCGAGTGATCAATGTGATTCACTCAAAGGTTAATGAGAACGAGATACGTGGGGAGACTCAGAGGTTGAAACACTTACAGCATGTGTGTCAGGTTCAGCAAAAAAGGCCTAGGGCAGACGAGTGCCAGGGACCAATGGTGTCCTTTACTGAAGCCGACCTAGACATGGTGCAACATCCACACAATGATGCTCTGGTGATATTCCTAAAGATTGGAGAGTGCCAGGTAAAGCGCATTCTAATTGACCAAGGCAGCTCTTGTGACATCATATATGTCAGATGCTACAAGGAGCTCGGCCTGCACCAAGATGATCTGGAAGTCTAACAGTCCAATGGTCGGGTTTAATAGAACGCTGACATGGCCCTTGAGGGCAATAAATTTGGAGGTACAGGCAAGTACCATGAAAGTGAGTACAGAGTTTACAATCATTGACACCCCTTCACCTTACAACGTTATCTTGGGAAGGCAGTGGTTGCACGCAATGAGAGCTGTTCCCTCAATATTGCACCAACTATTGCGGTTCCCAACAGAATAGGGAATTGAGGAGATCAGAGAAGATCAGGTGCAGGCAAAGAATTACTCCATGGCAGTAATGAAATCCACCTGCAACGTACGAGAAGCAGACACAGCCGAAATTGAGGACAAGGACATGAAGGTCCTGGATGACGTCGGCAAAGAACCAGCCGAGAAAAGTGAGGAAGCCCTGAAGAAGATTCTAATCCAACAAGGGGATGAAGAGCGTTTCTTCCTTCTTAGCTCAAGATTGGCCGAGGAGGAAGAAAGGGAGTTAGAAACCTTCTTACGAGCAAATATTGAAGTGTTTGCCTGGACGCCATATGAGATGCCTGGCATTGACCCCGAGGTCACTTACCATAGACTGAATGTGGACAGGTCGGCTAAACCTATCATCCAACGAGCAAGGAGGCCAACGTTAATACATGTTGAGGCAGTAAAAGAGGAGGTGGGAAAACTACTGGAGGCCAAAGCCATTCGAGAGGTAAACTACCCAACTTGGTTGTCAAACACAGTTGTTATGAAGAAGAAGAATGGGAAGTGGAGAGCCTGCGTAGCCTTCACTAGCCTAAATGACAGTTTTCCACTCCCCAAAATCGATCAATTGGTGGATACCACTTCAGGACATGGAAGGATGAGCTTCCTGGACGCATACAGGGAGTACCATCAGATAGCAATGTACCCCCTTGATGAAGAGAATACTGCATTTATCATCCTAAAAGGGCTATATTGCTACAAAGTGATGCCTTTCGGGTTGAAAAATGCAAGAACAACGTACCAGAGGTTGGTGACCAAGATGTTCAGACATCAGATCGGCAAAACAGTGGAGGTATACATCGACGACATGGTCGTGAAGACCAAGGAACCTGAGGATCATCTGGCCGACTTGAAGGCAATCTTTGACATCCTAAAAACATATCGACTTCGACTCAATGCTTCAAAATGTTCATTTGAAGTTAGGTCTGATAAGTTCTTAGGGTACTTGGTTACCAGAAGGGACATTGAGGCAAGCCCAGATCAAATCAAGGCCATCCTGGATTTGAAAAGCCCAGAGTCAGCAAAATAAGTGCAGATGTTGACTGAAAGGGCCGCAACCCTGAATAGGTTTATAAACAGATGTTCTGACAAATGCAAACCATTTTTTAGTTTAGTGAAAAAGGCCACAAATTTTCCTGGACAGAAGAGTGCGAAGTCGCCTTGATCGACTTGAAAAAATACCTGACCACAGCTTCAATTCTCTCAAATCCTGTACCTGGAGAGGAACTTTTCTTATACTTAGCAGTTTCGGAGCATGCAGAGAAATTGACATTAGCCTTAATAATGGCTTCCAAGAAGTTGAGCCATTATTTCCAAGCCCACAAAATTGTGATATTGACTGAGCACCCTTTGAAGTCCTTGCTACAGCAAGGAGATCTGACAGGCAGGGTGGCCAGATGAATAGTGGTATTGGGCCAATACGATTTAGAGTTCAGACCTAGAACAGCAATCAAAGGCCAGGTTCTAGCCGACTTCGTTGTCGAGTTCACATCTGGTGTCGTCCCACGTTGAGCTTCGGTGAGCCGCGACTTAGGATGTCTAAGGGAACAAGAAGAGACCCAACTGGGAATGAAAAACCCCACAACAGAGACCCAACTGGGAATGAAAAACCCCACAACAGAGCAGAAAAAAGAAGAGCAACTCAAGCCCTGTGATATTTATAC